GTGGACCATGCAGGCATACACCTATAATAACCTCAGGACCTAGGAGGCTGAGGCAGGAATATTGAGCCAGCCTGGGCTACAGAGTGGGATCCTGTAACCCCCCCAATCAAATCTCATAAATAATTAAAAAATTTAAAAATTATTCCAATTAATATTTATTATTGCAGATCCACAGAACAAAGTTAGTACTCCTAGGTTCAGAGGAGGGAGGGAGGGGGAGAGAGAAAGAGGGAGGAGGAGGAGGAGGAAAGAGAGAGAGAGAGAGAGAGAGAGAGAGAGAGACTATGTATGCCAAGAAGTCAGAAGTAGAGTCTGATGTCTCTGTCATTCTTCACCTTATTCTTAGAGACAGGTCTTTCTAACAGACTGGATGTACTGAGTGGCCAGCGAGCTCTGGGGATCTGCCTGTTTCTGCCTCCCCAGTGCTGGGGATACAGTCACCACGCCCAGCTTTAATGTGGCATCCAAACTCAGATTCTCATACTTGTGTGGTAGGGACTTTACCCACTGAGCCACCTCCCCAGCTCCGAGAGCTGATTTTTATTGAGGATAAAACCCAGAACCTTGAATATGCTAAGGAAAATGTTCTACCACTGAACTACACCCCAGCACCTCTACTAAAACAAAACAAAACAAAACAAAATAACAACAACAACAACAACAACAAATCTTCCATTGTGCATTTACTATCAAGCTGAAGCACCATTGAACTTCAGTTAAACCACTCTCCTGTGCTACGCTCAATGACTTCTTCAAACAGCACACAGGCCACACACATGTCTAGACCATGGCAAATCATGACTTTTCCAGAAACCTTTTAAGGGCAGCGCAAGAGTGAAGAACAGGCATGTGTCAGCATGTGTTTGTTTCCGGGAGTGAACATCAGTGTCCTGGCCATCTAGACTGCCAGGAATCCCACTGTACTTCTGTCCAGGTCCGTACCTGCACATGGTTAGACTGCCTGAGCGCTCTGAAGCAGCCGAGGGCACCCAGTGCAGTGCAGGGCACCCAGTGTAGTGCAGGGCACCCAGTGCGGTGCAGGGCACCCAGCGCGGTGCAGGGCACCCAGCTCTAGGTCTTGCATCCCCAGCCTCTCTGAACAGAGAAAACATGAATGCTCACTAACCTGCAGTGCTCACCATGAACTTCCACTTGACCACATAGGCGTCCCCCTCGTGGAACTGCCCGATGCTCTGCCTGGGGAGCCGGCTGTAATCGAATTCCAGAATATGCCACACATCGACAGAGACGGTGGCAATCTCAAACTGCCTCCTGTCATCCCCTTCCACCAGGCCATAGCCACGGCCAACGTTCACCCCATCTAGGATGGTGCTGGCTGTCACCTGGGGCGTGGCCACCATCCGCGTCACATCATAGGGCTTGATGTCAGTCCTAGGGTCATCCTACAAGGGAACAGAGGTGTTCAGGTGTCCCCTTGCTGCAGGCGTCTTTTGCTACATCCTGTGCAGTTTGGATTGCTTTTCTTTTTTTTTTTTTCTCCTTTTGTGGTGCTGGGGGTGGAACTTAGGGTTTGGCTGCCTGCCAGGCAATTGCTCTACCGTAGGGCTATATATCCCCAACCCTGTTTTAGCTGTTAATGGGACAGGACATAAATACCGCTTTCAGGGCATCTCAGGGTGCCTGACTGCACAGGAAAAGGCCATGTGTAGGGGAAAGAATGGGGTTCCCGTACACCCATTGCCACAACAGGGGAGGTCAGGATGGAGTCAGGAATCCCTTTGCAGCGTCACTAGTGTACCCCGGAAGGCTTTTTGCCATCACAGGCATTTTTTGCTGGTCTCCACACTGGGCCTGCACTCGGGGCTTGATCACCGTACCTTCTGTTGGACAACTTCCCCAGAGTTCTTCTCACTAGGCCTCTTCAGTTCTGTCCAGTCGAGGAATTTCTCTTTGAACAGAATAGTCTCGTTGTGCTCCGTAACTCTCCCAAATATGGCCCAGTCGGGTCGTCCTTGCCCTTTCCTGCAGGGTGGGAGCAGATAAGAAAAGGGCCTGGATGCAGCCCTGTCAGCTGTCGGAACAACAACCACGATATGGCAAGGGGCTGGATCCCAGGCTCACGCCAGCCCCCCATCCCCCCCATCCCCCCACCCCCGAGCTTCAGAGACTAGCCCAGTGGCTTCTGCCAACTTTCCTCTGCAGGCTCCCTAAGATTACTGTAGAAGCAGACTTGGCCTCGGCTTTGAAAATCTGTCTCTTACATGTTGTGAAGTGGGAGTAGGAGACACAGTAGCTTGTGGTGGAGGGCACAGCCCTGGGAGGAGGGCCTTGGCCCCTTTATCGACTTCCTCTAGTGATCAACATGCTGCTCAGGGCCCAGTCATTTCAACAGTGGATGTCAGCTGCTTGTGTGTTAAAAGGGGCTGGGCGCACAACCTTGGCTGCACCGTAGAGACCCCAGGGAGATTTTAAGACAGTTGTTCTCAAGCTGGGCGGTGGTGGCGCACGCCTTTAACCCCAGCACTTGGGAGGCAGAGGCAGGTGGATCTTTGTGAGTTCGAGGCCAGCCTGGTCTACAGAGCAAGATCCAGGAAAAGCACAAAGCTACACAGAGAAACCCTGTCTCAAAAAACCAAACCAAAACAAAACAAAACAAAAAAAACAGTTGTTCTCAACCTGTAGGTGGAGATCTTTTGGGGTTGAACAACCCTTTCACAGGACTCGCCTAAGACCATCGGAAAGCAGATATGTACATTCCCATTCATAACAGTTGCAAAATTACAGTTATGAAGTAGCAACAAAAATAATCTTATAGTTGGGGGTCACCACAACGTGAGGAGCTGTATTAACGGGTCGCAGCATCAGGAAGGTTTCGAACCACTGTATTATGACATGTTACTACGTAAGTCAACATGTTGCAGCTGTAATCCCTGAGGCTGGACCTGGCAAGCACATGCTTTCAGAGGTCCTCCCATGATTCTGCGGCACAGACAGCAGAAGCCAGTGGGCCAGATGCTCCTCCACCCTTGCATGTCACACTTAAGTATAAACTGGCCGTGGTATAGCTTTCTATGCTCCAGCACTGTTCCATTATAGTAAGTACGTACTCCAGGCTTGGTTTTAGCCCTTCAAAATCCCAGTTCTTTCAGTATGAATGAGCATTTGCTTAAAGATTTAAGGGTTTTCAATACACAGATATAATACTTCATTTTTGTTGTTTTTCTTGCCTTTTTTCAGACAGGGTCTTTCTCACTCTAACTCAGGTTGGCCTGGGATTCATGTAGCCCAGGATGGGCTTAATCTCATGAATGATCCTTGTGCCTCAGTTTCTCGAGTGCTGGGATTACAGGTCTGGCTTTTAAATATTGAAACCAAATATTAAGAAAGCCAGTGACTGGACTTTAAAGGGAGAAACTATGCAGGGAATTCAGAATCTGCATATAATGCTATGCTCTTTCATGTCCTCCACCTTAGCACATGACACACACAGTGTTAAAACAATTTGGAGGGTATGGTAGTTAAAAATCATTAATGTAGGAATACTATTTTTATTCACACTCATATTTTTTTTAGAGTTTGTGCCTGCTCTGATGATTTTCCCCAAATAGTTTTTAAAGGTCTAGTACACTGTAGTGAACGTTAAAATAGTACAATTATTCTTTTAATACAGTGTCCTTCTCCTTCCTTCTTCCACCCCAGAAGACACGAGACAGCCACACAAAGTGCCCAGGGCCCAGGGTAGGGAGATGGAAACCCTAGGAGGCTCTTAATGATCACAACAGCACTGAGAAGCCAGGGTGGGGCAGGGGTCCTTCCTAAAGCTACAACCTTCATATTCTGTCAGTAAGCCTTCCAGAAGTAAGGGAAGGTTTGTTGTGCGACCTCCCACGGTCGGCAGCATGTAAGCATTTACTAAATCCACAGCCTCTGTGTGAGGAGGAATGATGGATGCCTGTGGGACAAGCAGGCCTGCACCAGACCCACGTGGGCAGCAGCGGTACCTGGGAATGAGCGGGTTGCACTCTCCAGGGTCCAGAGGGTTGATGTCACAATTCTCGTAGTCAAAGGCTCCGTTCCAGAGGTGCTTAGCCAGCTGGAATGCTATTTTCCGCTGTGCTAACGTGACTTCCTTCCCGTGCCACACGTAAACTTCACTTCCAAAGTCAAACACCAGGACCTGGAAACCGCACAAAAAGCATGCGTGAACTGCAAGGGCAGATTCCAGGGCTCGGTCCCTGGTGATGAAGTCACACTGCTGAAGTCACACCACCCAAAGCTTTCAATCCAGAGTAAGGATTCCCCTGTCTGTGTCCCCTCCTCTCCCTCCCTCCCTCCTCCCCTCCCTCCCTCATTCATTCATTCAACATACACAGCTTATCACACACATGGCAGGTGCTGAGAAAACAACGCTGACTCTCCAAGTGCAGTTCTAAGACCTCGAGGGGCAGAAGTCATACCATTCATATAATGGGGGCTTATTGCTAAGCGTTTGTTGAATGGATGAATGAACGGATGCTCCTTGTTATTCCTCTATTCTCACCTTCATTTCCAGCACTCAAAATTCTGTTTTTTTTTTGTTTGTTTGTTTTTGTTTCTTTGTTTTTCAAGACAGGGTTTCTCCATATATATTTTGGTGCCTATCCTGGATTTCGCTCTGTAGACCAGGCTGGCCTCGAACTCACAGAGATCCTCCTGGCTCTGCCTCCTGAGTGCTGGGATTAAAGGCTTGTGCCACCACTGCCTGGCTCTGTTTTAATTCCCAACTAGGCTCCATTTCATTTTCTTCCTAAAATTACAGTTCATTATTTCTTTTTTCTGTGACTTTTGTGCCCATTTAAATGTCCATATACACCATGTCCTCAGTCTAGCTTTGGATGACAGTTTTCCTCTCTTTATTATTAAAATACGTTATTATATATTGAGTGTGTCTATAGCGTGTACAGTGGGATGCTCTGGGATACAGACAGGCAGTAAGGTGGCTGTTCCGGTGCGGTAGCTGACACAGCCATCGCCTTATGCTGCTGCTCACTTCTGTTTCCTGTCGTCCGAGTGGCAAGAGCAGTGAAATCTCCACGTTTTGCAGGGGTTTCCAGCAGCAACAGTTGACTGACTGTAGCTGCACATTGAGTATCAGATACCTAGGCCCACGCTGTCCCCCACACTTGCTGCTCCTGCCCTCTGCCCTCCGCGCCCTCCGCCCTCCGCCCTGGGTGCCTTTTATTCCCCAGGCCTGGCCTTGGTAGCTTTTATTCTCTTTTCTGTCTCTGCATACTTGACTTTGTTTTATCCCTGGGCCCCCCTTTTCGGGGAAGATTCCACATATAGGTGAGATCACAGAATAATTTTCTCTCCGTGCCTGACTTATTTCACTTATCCTGTAAGCTCTAGGGGTTACATTCTTTGCATTTACTAAAAGTTTTAAAATTACAGTTACTTGGTGTATGTGTGTGAAATGTAAATGAACAAGCTCTCTAATCAAAATACAGAGTGGCTAGAAGGGTCAAGAAAAGAAAACATGGGGCTGAATAGGTGGCTCAGTGGTGAAGAGCATATACTGCTCTTCAAGAGGATCCAGGTTCAGTTCCCAGTACCACATGATGACTCAATCCCAGAAAATCTCATGCCCTCCCTGGCCTCTGTGGGCCCTGCACGCATGTTTTATACATGCATACATAAAAGCAACACACCCATACAAATAAAAATAAAATTAAAAAAAGAAAATCCTGTGACTTTTGAAAAGAACGCTGTTTATGTATTTGGGCATTTGTTTGTTGTGTGTTCATGTGCACACATGGGAAGTCAGAAGATAACTCAAGGGAGTTGGTTCCTTCTGCCTACCATGTTGGACCCGGGAACTGAACAAGTCTCCAGGCTTGGCAGCAAGTGCCTTTACTCATGGAGCTGTTGTGCTGGCCCTGAATTCTTTCTAATATGTTTCTACCTAGTGGAGGTTAAGGGCCTTGTGTGTCTTCCCCTTTCTTTTCAGCAATTAGAATGGTTAATGACACTGGAAATACATGTAGTTAATAAATATTTACTGCGGTGCACACAAAAAAATACTTGACAAATCTGTAAATTATATTAACTATATGTAAATTATATGTAATTATATATACTCACAGTAATTATTCCTGAAACTTTAGTACTAACTAAAATTTATTTTAATCTCTATATACCTTAAGACATGAGGATAATATTCATATTTTATATAAAATATAAAAGCCTCCAATGATCCATGACACTTTTGAAAAATATTCTGAACTTTGTTAGTATTGTAGATAGTGGTAATGGTTTGAAATAGCAAATCCTTTAGCAAGTGCCATGTTTGATAGTCAGTATGGAACCAGCCAGAACTCTCTGCCCAGGTCATCCCTGAGCACTGTATCCTTGGAGTTGGTACCTCTTTGGACTGCAGAAGGGAGCACTTCGGAATCTTCCCCCAGTAGTCATCATCAGGGACGAGCTTGTCGTCGGTCAGGCGGTAGACACAGTTTGTCTCTATGATGGCTGTCTCGTACAGTTCATCTTCCTTTGGGTCTCCGGCAGCTTTGGGGTGAGACAGGACTTTAGAAAATAGTTGTCCCTGAAGGGACCAGTTAAGGGAGGGGGCCAGGAGACAGGATGTTCAAGCCTCCTCACTTTGAAATATGGCTAGCTCTTACACTGGTAGCTGGTCTGGCCACCCAGGAGCTTCCAGAAGTCTTTGGCTGCGTGAGTATGTGTGTTAATTCCTTCCTCAATGGTCTGGATGTATGTAGCTCTACAACCAAGCTCCCTCTTTGTTTGAATTAATGTTGCAAGTTCAGATGCCTGGAAAAGAGAGGGACACAATGAGTTAGGAGGCAAAACCAGTGTGGTCTGCACAAAAGGACACACACAGCCATCAGTGGAGAATGAATGCATGGCTAGAGTTGGGCACAGGGTGGTGGACGTTGGTTGTGTAAGCTGAGAAAGTGTAATTGGAGGAGTAGATGCATCAAGTCTTTGGAGCAATAATGCTCAGTATATGAGATTCAACTGATAACTCATGGGCTTTAGACACTGTCCCTAGTCTGGGGCTTCCCCCAAGTGTGTGCAGGTGTGTGTACACATGCATGGATATGTGGGGGTCAGGAAGACTCTAATTACTTTCTTCCCTTGAGATTGAACCTGAACTTGCCATTTTATCTAGACTGGCTGGCTGTAAGCTCTAGGAATCTGTCTGTCTCAGCCCCACAGTTCTGGGGTTACAGGCACATACACCCATGAAGGAGCCACACTGGCACTTCGCAGATGTGTTGGTCACCCAGGAGTCAGCTCAGACTCAGGGCTTTCCACTTTGAGATTCAGGTCACAGACCTTCACTTCAGTACCTCATGGAAGCTTCTTCAGAGATGCTGGCAAAGGGAACACTACCTGCCCCCTTCTGCTTGAATGAAACACGAGGCTTCTGAGAGCCTTGGCATGGGCCAGCTAGGAGAACACCACATTGTTGGATAAAGGACACAGCGGTAGAAGCGTCTTGTCGTTCGGTCGCCTACCTTTGCCTTCTCGATGACGTTTGAGAACTCTCCCACCCACAGGAAGCAGTACTGGGGGGAGAGCAGAAGGAAGCAGTCCCCGCTGCTGAGTGACGAGGCCCGAGGCTCCACCAACCTTGTCTGCACATGTCTTCTACCTGCGGACAAGCCCCGGCGTTCTGTTTCCACCATGCCCGCAGACGTCCGTGATGGACACATCTCTGCTACAGACCCCCCTGCTAAAGACTCTACCAGTCTGAATTCCCAGGACCGGCAGGACACGGAGGTTAAGATGGGCCACATGAGAGCAACATCCGTCGATGTTGCTGGTGAGTGCTTGCCCTAAAGTCTCCGTGCTTCTTAGGAGCGGCCTCAAAGCCTTGGGTTTTAGCCTATCTGTAGATGCAGTGAGGCCATCTTGGGAGGGCGGGCAGGGACACCCTGCTCTCTCACATTCCTGCTGCCTTTTCTCCACGCAGCCTGCTTCCTGTGCTTCACGCCTAGCTGTGCTGTAGGGTGAGGCATGCCTCCTCCTCCCAGGCCCTACCCCGTGGTGACCCGCAGCCACTGGATGGGGTCACTTAGGAGGGAAGCGCTGCCTTGTGCCACTTTCAGCCCCTGCTAAGAGGTCCACGGAGCTGGAGCCCTCTGTGATTGCATACCTAGTGTCATTTCCACACCAGAGCCCCTCAGCTGTCTTCTGTGTGTGTGTTGTGTGCACAAGTGTGTGCAGGTGTGTGTACCCATGCACGGATGTGTGCGGATCAGAGGAGGACTCTAGGCACTTTCTTCGCTTGAGATTGAACCTGAACTTGCCATTTCACCTAGACTGGCTGGCCGGTAAGCTCTAGGGATCTGCCTGTCCCTGCCCTACAATTCTGGGGCTACAGGCACATACACCCACGCCTGGTTCTTATGTGGGAGTCGGGGGTTCAAGCACAGGTTCTTATGCTTATAAAAGAATCACTCTTACCCACCGAGTCATCTCCCCACCCGCATCTCTTAAGCACATTGAAGAGGAAATGGGTTTGCAGAAAATACTCCAGAACCCTTGGTAGAGGCAGAAGCTACTCCATCCAGCCTTCTCTTGATGATCCAGCTACAGAGGCCACTTCTAGGAGTAAAGCTGCCCCTCCCCCTCCCCTTAGAGCCCTAGCTTCCTGCTGCCCTTCCAAGTCTCATGTATTATAGACAAGAAGGTCAGGAGAGTGGAACCTGGGGATGGGTGAGGATCATTTACTCCTGCATTCCCCTGATTCCTTCCCCGGGAATTTGCTTCCTTACTCTGGCTGGCATGGATCATGGCTTATCCTAGGAGGGAGAACTGGGAAGGGGGCATAGACCCATGCTAGAGACTTCAGACACATTTGGTAAAGTGCATGGCGGTGTTGGGGTAAGGGCTATCGGGACAGAGCAGAAACAAAAGCTGAGACTCTGGAAGGGTAAAGAACTTGAAAGACCCTAACCCTTCAGGCTTACACCCCCAAGCCCCAGGAAATGAGAAACTAAAAAAACTAGTTCCAAGGGCCACCTGACTCAGCCATTATTCAACCTGTGACAATGTAACAATGTAAAAAGATTTCTGTTAAGAGATGTGCTCAATTGTGACTGGGATAGTTGCAGGTGTTCCAGGAAGGACCACTGTGACCTGTATGTAAACTCCACTCCCACCCTGATAACCCCCTTGAGGTTTCAGGAAGAATGTACCTGTTGACATAACTGTGCCCCCTCTGTGATCACTCTGTAACCAGACCATGATCTTAGGAAATTAGCCTCTAGACATAAATCAATCGAAATGACATTATATGGAAATTGTAATCTTGTGGGGTTTGTGGGTTTTTCCTTTAAAAAGCACTCATGGGGCTGCAGCGAGTTGCGACTCTCGCTCTTGGGAGCAGAGGAGCCCTTCTGTACAGAAGCGTCAATAAAATCCTCATGCTGTTGCATCAACTGGACTGGAGTCTGGGTTCTTGGGGAGCCCACTTGAGACCCTAAACTTTGGGGTCCAACAAACTGAGTCCAGCTCTTGCGTCCACATTCACACACTCTCAGAGCTCCAGTGGGCAGAATATTCCTGGCCTTACGGAGTCTGTGATGCCACAGTGAGGGAGGCAGCGCGTAGCACCTAACAAGGGAGACTCAGACAGAGTGCCTGCCCTCCCCTCACAGGCAACAGTGGATTCAGCCAGGAGTCCTACTATGACCAGACAGGAACCCCACGCTTCCACAGTTCCTCTAGACCACCAGGAAGCATACCTTTAATCTGCAGCAACATGAGCTTCTTGTAGGGCACGGCGCTGTTGTTGGAGTTCTGTTCCATCAGGTTGACACTCCGCAGGCTGATGCTGCTGAAGTTCTCCCTGCTGGCCAGGCCTGCCAGAGTCACCTCTGAGAAGTTGGAATTGGATGACACTGGGAAGGAAGGTGGGGGAGGGGGGACGCTCAGTGGAAAGTCAAGGTTTGCAATCATAGGTGACTCCTAACCCACAGGACTCGAGTCCCAGGAGTCGTACCATGCAATGCTTAATCATTGTGCACAGAATTAAATGCACACGGAAAGCGTCAACTGCTGCTGATAAGTGTCACAGCCCTTGTCACCCTGCAGGAGGCCAAGTCAGTGACATGGACCAGAACCACCTCCCCAGCTTAACGTCAGATGCGAGACTCACTCCATCCAATTTTACCAACAGTGCTCAAAAGTCCTAACCCCTTAGGGATGCTGGGACTGATTCCCCGTGGTAGGCATCTCTCACCAAGTCTTCACAGGTACCCAGGTGACAGCCTGTAGGGGTGATTCAGTTCATTTTGTGATCAATGTGATCAATTACATGGTATCTTCAGGTCCCTTGCCCTCAGACCTAAGACTGTAGTCACAAGACGCTGGGTTTTCAGTGTGGACCAATAGCCAGCACGAGCCAAGCCTGAGACCCACAGAAGTGGAGGTGGTGGAGAGATATGTGAAAATTGTGCTAATAAACCTTTATGTCTTCCTAACTCTTTGTTTTAAAAATCTTACTACTGGGGCAAAAGTTAGTGAGTGATTTTGGCTAGGACCAGACTCTAACATTGAGAACAAACCACTAATGCTGTTTGCTGGGACTGTAAGCATGCACCACCACTAAATACTTAAAAAAAAAAACAAAAACCAAAATTGGCAAATTAGTTTATGAATGCTACAGGAAAAGAAAGATTATAGCAAAAAATAAATATTTAAATATCAAGATGATGGCTGCTATGACTGTCATGAGGAGGATCATTGTTTTTTTTGTTTTTTGTTTTTGTTTTTCGAGACAGGGTTTCTCTGTGTAGCTTTGCACCTTTCCTGGAACTCACACAGTAGCCCAGGCTGGCCTTGAACTCACAGAGATCCACCTGCCTCTGCCTCCTGAGTGTTGGGATTAAAGGTGTGCACCACCACCACCCAGCTTGAAGATCATTGTTTGACAGCAGTGGAACCTACATTCTGGGCCAGGTAAAGTCAGATGTGTAGCTCAGGGTCAGGTGCAGTCAGAGACCAACCACACTCTCCATTCCAGAGTCCATTCCAAGTCCCCCACCCTAGCCCATCTCACTAGATCCAAGCAGCCCCAGGACCTCTCTCAGAACAACCAGAAAGCACTGGTTTAAAATGCTGTGGCAAGGAAAGGATTGAATTTGGATTTCCACAGGAGATCTCCCAAGACACTCCTGAATAAGATTAAGCGGAGAATTGCTGTGTTTGGGTTTTTCCACAGTTGAAAAGTGGCAGAATTCCCAAATCCAGAAACACACGTCTCCTTCCATCTCAAGACCCAACTCAGCAAAAGGGCATCATTTAAACAGCACTTTAGTGAGGAACCTTTAAATTCGAGGCAGGCAGACATGTGCAGGTGTGAATTCGCTTTTGCTAATGAATGATCTCTGAACACACACTGCCCCCACAAGGCGGATCAAAAGGAAATAACAGGGAAGCAGGGCTCAGACCCAGAAGCAGGGTCCTCCCACTCACTCTTTTCCACTTTCATCCGCTTGGACTCCATGAAGGCAACGTTTAGCCTTTGCTCCGTGTATTCCTGAAGGAGATCATCTCTTGCTGCTAGCAGTTTGAGAGGGTTCTTGGAAGCCTGGACCCGGCGCTTGGGCCTAACCGAACGCTTATGTTCCGCCACGGAAGATGTCAGCCTGCAGGGCAGAGCAGATGTGGTTCAGACTATCATCACCTTACCTTTGTAGGTCTTGGACCTGGGACAATACACTCCGCTATTTTTACTTCCGGATTTCATCTCACTACTCCTGCCGTGATGTAGTCACATCTTGGAGGTAAAGGGAGATCTGAGCTTACTGAGTTGATGATGCCTTGTCCATTTGTGCCCTTGGTCTCTGTCTAGAGAGGGTCCAGTGGTATAGGACAGCTCAGTCCACTGTTGGCTGGTTTTTCTGGTTGGGGAGCCCAAGACTGTCTGCATACCACAGCTGATGCTGCTGTTACCAGCAAGTTCTCAGAGACCCGCTAGATGGCCACGGCACCTCCACTGAATCCTCTTTGCCCCATACTACATGTTTTCTTCACACGCAGCTTCGCTGTTCCCTCCACAGCTAGTATTAACTCAACCTACCAGCTCCCCGGGGAAATTAACTGCATTTGTGAAGAATATACTGAGATAAAATAGGCCTTCAGAATCAAATCTGGTCCCCGAGACTGTCCCAAGTCTGGGTAGACCAGCCTGGGGAGGTAGTGTATCAGTGATCTGACCTTCCAACAGACTCCTGTGGCGACATCCACCTGTCAAATGCTTAGGTCTCTGCCAGGAAGCATTCTTCATATACTACCACTGTGCGTGTGAGCACAAATACACGTTTGTTTAAATTATTATGTATCACAATTATATATAACAATTTCAGCACCAACAGTTGGATGGGGAGAAGGTGAACTGAACAGAATGAAATATCCAAAGCAGTACGTCAGACCAGGAGTAGTTTATGGAAACTTTTATCATGAATAAACACACCCTTGGAAGACACAGTTGCTCTAAAAATTGCCCAGGGAAAAGCAGAGACATGCAGTGGGTGGCTGTGTGCAATTTGCTTAGAACAGGTGCCTCTACTTCTGGTGACGTCTTATGGGGCTTCCTCTGGGGGCCCCTCTGACCTCCCTGGTTGATAGGCATCATCTGTCCCTTGGACTATATGAATGGTTTTAGGATAATCTTCAGACCCAAGCTGGAACAGTGAAGACCAAATCTGGACTTTGAAGATGTAGTTGGAAGTGAATCTGACCACTCTATGTTGACTGAGTAGCCTATTTGGTGCTAGAAGTGGACACCTCTTTCCTTGTGGTAGCAGTCTGACGAAGAGAGAAGCCAGCGTATGGAAAGAGCCTCGAAAGTCCATGCTGTTCTCTGTACACTCAGTCAGTGCACACCTGAGTTTGAGCTAAATTCCTCCCCAATGTTTTTTTTGTTGTTGTTGTTGTTTTGTTTTGTTTTTTTTCTGATCTCAGTTTGATACATGTACTTTTCTGGTATCTGCCATGGATGGAATCCTAACACATGATCACTTTTAAAAACCTTTGGGTGCCTCTGAGAAAATCCATGGGCATGGTTTTATATTTTACACATCGCTGGAAGCAAAGGAACCTTGGCTCCTACTTTTCTAATTAGTTGTGCTAACCTGAGCTCATATTATCCAAATATCCAGTTATGAGTGACTTCAGTGGTGCCCAGTGGGGCAGTTGTGGGCATCTACTAAATGGCAATACTATAAAACATGCAATGCTGGAGTGATGGGAAAGCCAGGCACCCCTCTCAAGACTGCACAAACATCCAGGGCACACACAGTAGACCTGTGAGTACGGCAGGACAGTCACATGTGCTCCCTCTACCCGGAGGAAATGGGCATCTGACTATAGAGCAAACACCCATCTGACTACAGGCGGAAGTTTCTGCTGGCAGGAATTGGGGAGCCTGTGAAGGAAGCCACTCTTAACTCACTTGGGAGCGTACGGGTCAAAAATGACATCAAAGTCCTCCTCCAGCTCCACAGGGCTTCTAGGTATATTGTGATCCACGCTGCGGTAGAATTTGGCAAAGGTTTCATCATCATCCAACTTCATCACCTCCTTGACAGATTTCCCAGTGACGGTGAGAACCGTTTCCTGCATCCCGGCAACTACCAATAACGGAGCGAAGACACCATGAGCTTTAGAGAAACAACTACTGTGACCTATCCTGTACTGCTTTAAACATCATATCCCTCTCTAAGTCCCCAGAGTGGGGAAAAGTCCCCTCTCTGCCTACCCCCATCCCCCACCTATGCTATGCAGTGATGGTCGGAACAGGGAGCAGGCTGACCTTGCCTACACAAGAACGCGAGCATTTCTGAACTTGATCCATTTCTACCAGGGGGTAAACTAACCTTGGTCTTGTTCCATATTAGGGTTCTGCAAACTTTTTCTGCAAAGGACTAGGAAGCATTTGGGATTTCTTTGGGGAGATCACTTAGCTTATGAAGCACTTCCTCAATCCTACTGTTACAGTGCAAACGTGGCTATAGACAGCAGGTCAACGAAAGGACATAGCTGTGTTCCAATAAAACTTTATTTCCAAGAGCGGGTGGAATGCTGGGGAGGTCATGGCCACTGCCTGCCGACCATGGGATAAATCACTGTTATTCCATTATGTTGGCTAGTTTTATGTCAACTTTATACGGGCTGGAGTCATTTGGGAAAAGAGAGTATCAATTGAGAAAATGCCCCCACTAGAGTGGCCTGTGAGCAAGCCTGTGGGACATTTTCTTGATTTGTGATTAACATGGGAGGCTTCAGCCCATTACGGGTGGCCCGACCCCCAGGCTGGTGGTCCTGGGTGCTATGAGAAAGCAGGCTGAGCAAGCCATGAGGAGCATGACAGTAGCAGCACTCCTCCATGACCTTTACCGTCAGGTTCCAGCCCTACTTGAGTTCTTATTCTGACTTCCCTGGAGGAGGGACTACGAGCTGTAAGATAAAAGAAAACACCGTCCTCTCCAAGTTGCTTTTGGTCATGGTATTTATCACTGCCATAAAAATCCCAACTAAGATAACGGTGTAGTAGATTTCATTGTTAATACACCTTACCCAGTCAGATTAGCTACTGTATTACGCCCTTAACAGTTCTGGCTTTCAGTGTTTGTGTAACTTGCAGCCTTTAGGGGTCACTGTCAGCAGTAGGGGCTCCTAGTACCTGGCACTTGATGACCAGATATGTTTTATCAAGAGAGAAAAGGTTATTTCTGCATCCCGCCTTTTGTGACACTATTACATTAAAATGTTCATTGCATTGTTTTGTTTTGTTATGTTTTTTTAACTAGAATTTTCTTTTAGAAATTATTTGGGATTATAAGAACAAATACCATTTGCCTTAACAGAAATGGTGCCTACAACTCAAAGCTCGCCCAAGAGTACGTTGATTTTGTATTTGTACAGTAACTGCTTTCCAGTGTAAAGGCAAAATCACTGAGTTATACTTGGATTGGATGAAATCGCAAGGGTTTGGAGTCAGTAACAAGTGCACTATTGGGTGTCCCAAATTCAGGATATTGTGGAGTGGATCAGAGTTTGAACTTTAATTAGTACTAACTACAATTTCGTTTTTTTTGAAGGACAACAGTAGAGTGTGTGTGTGTGTGTGTGTGTGTGTGTGTGTGTGTGTGTGTGTGTGTACGTGCGCGCACACATGTGCACAAACTGCTAAAAGTATACTCCAAAGGAGAAACGGGACTGAGGAGAAAAAGCCATCCGAAGCAGGATTTGGAGAGCCCACGATGGCCGTATATGCCCCTCATGCTAGCACCTGGGAGGAGGATTGGGAGTTCCAGGTTATCCGTGGCTACGTAGTAAGTTCAAGGCTAGCCTAGTCTACATGAGACCTTGTTTCAAAAAACAAAACAACAGTAATAACAAAAACAACCACAGAAAAACAAACAAACAAACAAACAGAAAACCCAAAGTTAAGAAGTTGAAATCGGGACTTGGAGGTTCTGAGAGAGCAGCATGGTGTCAGGGTTTTTAAGGTTTTCTTTGTCATTCATTGAAAGCAGAGACCACGGTGTACTGTAGTAATACAAGCTGAACCTCTCCTCTGCCTTCTGGCATGTACCTTTGTTGTTCAACCTCCTTAGAAAGGTTTCCAGCCTGTCCAACTTCAGGTCCGATTCCAGCTGCATATCTGGCCTGGCTTCAATATCTAAACAAGTAGAAACCATGAGTGAGCAAGTTCCCTGGGCTTCCCTGTGCAGATGCTCACAGCACTATGGACAGGGTGACGTACCTTCCAGGGGTTTGGAAACTGGGGTGGTGCCCCTTGATTTGCTGCAGAGAGGGGATGAGACTGGAGTTATGGCTGTGGGTGATGCCAGACCTACAGAACATACAAAAGCAACATTTAGCATCTTAAAGATTAATTTGGGAAATTCACAGAACCCAGTGAATCTGCACAGGTCCCAACAGTATGAGCATATACACAAGTATGCACAGGTTAGCCACCATGGCTGTCAGGCCAAATGCAGCCATATCTATGATTTTTCTAGTCCTATGAACTATGCAGCTGCCAAACTGGTATTCCAAAATGAACAGTGAAGACAAGGGGAAACATATCCACAGCATGTAAACAGACTGAGAGTGTACATGGCTCCTAGGATACATTGGAACAAGTGAAGTTTTGAAGGCCTTTTTTTTTGGGGGGGGGTGGTGGCAGGGGCCACAGAAGAAAAAGCAAATGTGTACCATCTCCCACAGAGGAAGTTAGGCGTAAGCTGCCTTGTCCTAGGTGGAAAATTATTATCCCCCAGACTTATAAACAATGAGAAAACCCATGGCTTGTGCAGAAAAATAAGAATGAAGACATTCACTGTGGGATAGACTACTCCATATCCAAACCAGAATATGTGTGTCCCCTGATGTCAGTGTGGGCCAGGGAACAAGGGTATGGTTCTGGTGGGAAGAGTCCAGTTAGGTCTCTTCAGATGAGACGGTAAAATAAAATAAAAACTAAGCAAATTGCCATCAGGATACAAGTTGGAGCCAGCAGCTGGAGACTTGGGCTCTGGTTCACTTTCAATTCCAGCTGCCTTTAATCAATATGAGCCCAGACCCCTGCTTCTTGTTAATGGGAGGAGGAGAGGGGAAGAGGTGTGGGGGGCGGGCTGGGCTGAAGATTACACCTGACTAAACAGTTCCATGTTCCCATGAAGAAAAGCCAGGTCCTGTCACATCCTCTGAGAGTAAATGATCTTCTGTTGTCTTTGGATGATCCCAAGGTTAACACATTTGTTTCAAAGGCTTCTTCCAATAAGAATCAAGGAAATTACCCTCCAAGGTTTGCCTGCCTCTCCCCCTCCCTTCTGCAAGCATCTCTAGAATGCATGCCATGGAATGAGTTAGGCTCTGTTCAGAACGGAAGGTTTGAAGAGAAAAAATGCTGACCTTATCAAGTAGATGGCAGAACCCAAAGACTAAATACATGTGAATACATTTATTCCATTAACTAGGAAGTCTGCTTTTAGATAATAGCTTGAGAAATGAAATCACATGAATATGGATGATGTAGGAACCCTAACACTTAACCATATCCCATAGGACATGAATTAAAGCCCCAAACTCCCCCAGACTCTCTGGAGACTACTAATGCATGTGACTCAGCACTCAGGTCCCTGCCTCGCAGCAGTTCTAGAGTCCTGGTACACTAACTGATCTGCAGGGCATCCCTCCTCCCTGGAATTCAGAGCATCTTGGACATCTGTCACAACACGCCTGCAAGTTGACTTCTGTAAGCTGCATCTTACAAAGCTAGAGCCAGAGGGACATAAGAAGTGAGCTGCAAGGGACCAGAGGGACTCCTTCATGCTAAAATGCCTTTATTACCAAAAGCTTACTTGGTGGTGGTGCGTTGGTGGGGAGGCATGTCTAGATGTACGTCAGGCCACGAGAAGATGGAAACAATTTAAAAGGAATTGTGGGGAATAATTGGTTAAAATTATTTCTATCTTTCTTTCATTTTTTTGTGGCAGAGCTGCAATTGCTTGTGAAACCTACAATTGTACTCAATTTCTAAACAGGCAAGTTCTGAACTAGTGACAGATTGAATCAGGCGTCCTAAACTGAAGGGCAGCGGCTGCAGAGTCCGCAGCGGAAATACTTCACACAACCATCAAAACCTATTTACTCAACACCAGTGCAGCGTAATGTGTAAAGACCAGGGCTTTCCCCCATTCCTACCAAGTTGTCATGTGCCATTCTACCTCCATGGATAAGTGTGCCCTGATGTGTGTGCCTACACATGTGCGTGCACTGACACACACACACACACACACACACACACACACACACACACACACACACTCGGGCTCTGACCTTTCTTCACCATTCTTCCTGCCACGGTGAACTGGGTGGAGTCGTTGGCGGCCCCTCTGCCCTTCGTCTTCCACGCTTCCTCTCGCACAGTGATGAGGTGTTTCCTCTCCTCAATCGTCATCTGGCTCTCTCGACTTTCTGTGACCCGCTGTGGACAAAATGCACAGAAGAGAAAATAAGAGGAGAAATCACAGAGGTGTCCACTTCAACCTGGCAGCATTTCCCCATTGGGGGTGGGGGGGGAAACAGGTAAAGAAAGAAAGCTGCCATGTTTGACCTGTCTCCTGAGGCCTGGATGAGTTAATGAGGAAAGCTTACCCCTACGTGCTCACAAAGGACATGGTTAGTCAAGAACATTTCATCTAAGTCAGCTCCCCAAGAGTATGAGTGATGGCAAAGTAAGGAAGCCGGTTAGAAGGAATGTGAATCACAAGATTCCCCAGGACTGGGTGGGCCTCTGGTTCAGTAGTGCTGTCACCTGAGGATTAGGTAGCCAGGGGAGCCTAAGAGAAGGAAGGCTCCAGATAACAACAGATCTAACAGCCGTGATTTACTTTGTGGTAGACATAACCTACACAGAGAACAACGGTTCTCAGCATTTGAGTCTCTAATGGGTGATTTTATTGACAAATGTCAGCTTCCCCATCATCTAATCAATGAACCTTCCTTGCACATGATTCTTTAGTATGCCTTCATGGCCAGACGTGATTCTGACATCCTTAGTAATTGGAAGAGGTGAAGATCTTGTACCAACACATGACAGCTAAGCGCAATGCATGATCCTAGTATGGGTTCAGGGGTGGGCTTAGTAAGGCTATTATTGGAGACAATTGACACAGTTTAAATACAGATGTGGGTTTGGTACACATGATGCCAACATTGAGTCTCTTGTCTTGACCACTGCATCACCATATCATGGGCATGGGGGAAAACACCCTTGACTATAGGAAGTTCATATTTAAGTACTAAATGGAGCAGGTCTCCATATTACTCAAACTTCTTGTGCATGGTTTGGGAAGGAAAGGTAAAATTAGACACATTAAGTCAAACACATCCTTATACACAGCCACAAACACAGATACACATATGCATACACATTCATACCTAGTCACACGCACAAACACAGTCACACACATTCACAGTAACACACACACACACACACACACACACACACACACACACACACTCATATATCCAACCACACATACAGTTGAACATATAAGGACAGTCACAGTGACACAGTCACCCATGACATGGGAGAGAGGACTAGGAGAGAGGTAGAGGGAAGAGGCAAGAAGAGTGAATCTCAGGAATCGGAGGGTCAGGGAGAGGGTATAGGGGAGTATCCCGCCTCTTATGGAAACTTCTCTAGAACTCTTAACTGTTGCTAGTATGAAAGTTACCAACAATTAAAAACAAAAGCAAGAACATTTAAAAACCTTTCACTCAGAACTGACAAGATGACCCTAATTCCAAAGAAGGCTTGAGTTAGTAATTTTACTAAATAAACTATGGGGTCGTCATGACAGAAAGATGCAATGAAGTCTGAGAGAATCAAGTGTGCTTGAAAATGCAATGTCCAGAGTAAAGTTTAATTAAACCAATAGAGCATCTGGCTAAAAGTATTTCCAGAAATACTCAGAATGCCTTTACAATTGGTCCTTTTCTCTATGGTGAGTTCATGGTCTCTCCAAAGAGCAGGGTGTGATAATGCGGTGCAGTTAATGACTCAGAAAAATGCTTGAACCAACAATGTGGCTGTCCTCAAAACACCTAAAATGCCTTCCTAAAAGATGAGCGATCTGAGCCCTGAGATGAAGCAATTCAGCCCAAAGCTTCTAGAAGGAATTTTTTTTTATTTCCTTCCAAATGCAAGTATTAAACATAGAAGCTTTTCTTTTGCTGGAAATTTCTATATAACTTGGTTAGTTGTCATGTTCAGCTTGGGAACCCCTAGTTCACATGCCTTGACCTTCTGAGGCTCTGGAAGGAGTAATGAATATGCCCTTGTGTACTCCCTGAAAAACCTTCAAAATCTACCCTAAGGCATGAAACCTCTCAAAGTATGAAAAAAAAAACAACAACAACAACAAAAAAAAACCAACCAAACAAAAAACGACCAACTACTTTTGTCCCTTTCTTTTTTCAGTTTGAAACTTCATTATTGTCTTGCTTTTCTTTCTAAAATTTTCTTTTGTTGTTTAATTCTGTTAGGTTCTGTCTCATGTCCTGGGGTTAGCAGATGGATGCTTAGGAGCCTGGAATAGTGAGAGAGAGGTAAGACCTACCTCATCTCTAAGTCCTCCTTTCAAATACAGATGCCATCACTATGGGAGAGAAGCAGAGGGAATGAGAAAGGATGTGGGGGCAGCGTGTAGGGAAAAGAGAAACAGCTGGGAAGAAAGGAGGATGAGCAGACACATCCGGACAGTCAGTTTCCAGGTCAGCAGGATGCTCAGATCGCCTTGTTTTTCCCTAAGCTCCTGGGAAATCATAGCAAACCTCCACATTTCACCCACAGGGATGAGATAGGACAGGAGAGCGCAGCTCAGGTATCATTAGGACTAGTAGCCAATTAAAAGGCAAAATTCCTCCACAGTTAGCAAGTTTCATAGGAAGAACTATTATAATCTGGCTTTTAAGTTTTTACCGTACGCTGAATAAATGTAAGGTAAAATAGCAGAAATGATAGAAGAATATGCTAAGTAATAGAGATAAGGTCAAACCACGAAATTCTGTGTAATGGTAAAGAATGTAGCTTTGCTTTCCCCTGAACAAAGATTTAAATCCATGTTCGCAGTGTCAAGAGAGAGAATGGTGAAGAAGCTTTGTGCCTAGAACTTAAAGTGATTTCAGCCTGGTCCTATAGCCAGCTGGGGGCTTCTGAAGGATGACAGGTAGAATAACACCTCATTCATTCTACACAGCAGGCCAGGAAGCAGAGGATGTGTGTGCCTCACAGAACCTGTGCACTGTTCAAATGCACTGTTCCCTTCCCTGTTCTCTTGTATCATGAAACATGAAGACACCACCACAGCTGGAGCAAAGCAAAGGACTCAGCTGGCCACTGACCACTGATAAACCATAGTCAAGTTAACACATATTTATTTATGTGGGCAAACTGTTAAGAAGTAAAAATACATTGTTTTAGATGTTCTAAAGTTTGAGGTCATAAAACATAAATTGCTTTTGATAAATGTTATTTTTCTTTTAACCTAAAAAATTCATGAGGAGATATCTCATGTTCATGGATAGATGTTTAACTCAGTTCTCACCAATGTGATGATCTATTAAATCCAATGTAGTCCCAGTAAAAAATCCCAGCAGGATCTTTTAAAAACAGACAAACTCATCCTGAACTTGAATCCCTACAGAGAAGGGAAAGCCTGAGGGCAGGCCACAGGAAGGGGAGTGAAGGCGGCAGGCTCAACTTTAAGATTCATAAAGCTGCAGGAATCGGGATAGCAAGGCATTGACTATGTCAACAGAAAAGGATGGAAAGC